AGTGACTGTCTGGTGGGAACTTCTAAGGTGACACATAGGGTCTGTCTCAGGAAAACTGAGGTCTGGCCATCTGCACAACTCCACTCCCCCTCTCCTGATGCTATGAAAATGGCGTTCACTAAAATTCACTGTTCAGGTGGGGGCACGGTGGATCCTGAACTCTCCCTTGGTCCTCCGACAGCCCCTACCCCCTGGGGACAAAGGGAGTGTTCTCCGGAGCCTCGGGCCCCAGTAGCATCCTGTTACTTAAGCTGCCAGGAGCCGGGAGGGTGCGCTGGAGGCACGGAGGCCCCTTGAGTGATGGTTCTGGGCAAAGGGCCGTTGCCTCTCCCGTCTCCTCCTCTCCTTTGAGCTTTCTCACGCTCCCCCCACCCCACCACCCCTCAAAGGCCAGGAAATCACAATGTGTTAATGTCACAGAAAGGCAGTCCACTGGGAGGTGGGGGTGGGGTGCCCAAGTGGAAGCGGGAAGGAAGGCCGTGTGCGAAACGTAATAAAACGCCGTTTGGTTTTGCTTTCAGTCGGGGCTGTCCGAGGGCAAGGGAAAGACGAGTCAAAGGTGGAAGATGACCCGAGGGGTAAGGAGGAGAGCTTCTCTCTAGAGAGCGATGTGGACTACAGCTCGGATGACAATTTGACTGGCCAGGCTGCTCCCAAGGAGGAAGACCCCGGCCACGTCCTGGAGGAAACCCCGCAGAACGGCAGCACGGCGGGCAGCACCACGTCCACCGGCAAGAACCGGCGGCGGCGGACTGCCTTCACCAGCGAGCAGCTGCTGGAGCTGGAGAAAGAGTTCCACTGCAAAAAATACCTCTCGCTGACCGAGCGCTCGCAGATCGCCCACGCCCTCAAACTCAGCGAGGTGCAGGTGAAAATCTGGTTCCAGAACCGCCGGGCCAAGTGGAAACGGGTCAAGGCCGGTAACGCCAATTCCAAGACAGGGGAGCCTTCGAGGAACCCCAAGATCGTCGTCCCCATCCCAGTCCACGTCAGCAGGTTCGCTATTAGAAGTCAGCATCAGCAGCTGGAACAGGCCCGACCCTGAGGGCCCAGCCAGGGCGGGCACCCACCGTGGAGAAGCCCCAGCTCTTGACGGTTGAAAGCAAAACTTATAGGCACCTCCCAGGCTGGGCATCCTGAGCAAATCGAGAACATACTAGACAGGCTTACAGGACTGCTTTGGAAGCGGCTGCAGCCACACCAGAAGATACACTAAATATTTATTATACCTCCTTGCTTTGTGCATAGATATCTATATAGACGGGATCTCAACGGCAGTATTTTGAAAGTTATGGGACACAACCTCCCAGTCTGTTCTCCACTCACCCCAGAAGAACACAAAACCTCTGCTGTGCCGCCACCTTTCCGTGCTTTTCCAAAGGTAACTGGGAGACACAAGGACAAACACTGGGGTTTAAACTTATTTTTGTTTCTCTTCTGCCTTTCTGAGTTGGCTGCAAAGCAGATGGTGTTGGGCAGCCCAGGAATCTGCTTTGCTGTTTGCTTTTCCCTGGCTTTCTTTCCTGGGCTTGCATATCCTACCATGTCTGAAGCACGTCTCCATTGTGTTTAATTTATTTCAATGTAGCTTATTTTCATATAAGTTATAACATTTAAACAATTGCAGTCTTGTGAATAATAAAAAAAAGAGCAAGGGAAAACAAAAGACCAACACCGGGGTTTTATAAGGGTACCCACAGTCTGCTCCAAGGGCACTGCCAGGGTGTGGTCCCCCCCAAGTGCCCTGTGACCAGGACTGTATGAACCCGGAGTTCAGCTCTCAAGCTGTCTGGCTCTGAGCCACACAGCACCTTACCAGGTTTTAAATTGGACAGCAACAACTCCAGTAGGGCCGGGCACTTCAGAAAACCCAGCTTTCATCTTAGGAATCTAGTATTGCCCCCTTGAGCTAAGGAACTGGCAAACTTTGGCCAGAGGAGGATGCTGAGGGTACCCCAGGAGGGAAAGTGGACACGGTGATGGTGGGTTTACACCAGCTGCTGGAGCTGTGAATCCACTAGAGTCAGGGAAGAAATGAATTTCCTTACAAACATCCTGAAGGCAGCGGTGCTCGATTGCTCCAGTCGGGCCTCGTGTCTGTAAATCAGGTTCTGGGCGGTATCTTCCGACCGGAGCTGGAACCCGGCAGGGGGAGCCGGGCTTCCCAGGCAGCACTCTGTTCGGATCCCAGGCAGAGTAGGCGGTGAGCACCAAGGCCCAGCACCTCCCCCTCCGGGCGGGGTTGGAGGGAGGCGGGCCCTGACCACCGCCCCACCCCAAGGGTGCCAGAGCCTGCAGCCCCTTAAAGGGCGAGAAGGGGAGAGGGACTCTGGTGAGTCGGTCCAGGGTTGGTTCTTGGAAACCTGAGAGTAAAGCATCTCTCTGACTGTGAGCGGCAGCCTGCTCCCCAAGTCCACTCCACCTAACTCAGGACTGTACCCTGAGCCCAGTCCACACCCCAAGCACCCAAGCGAGAGACTCAAGGAACTGCCATGCACAGGTCCCAGGTATGCCGGAAATGTAAAGTGGGTGCTTGAGGGTGATCCTGATGCTACAGTTCTGCAGGCCACCAAACCAGCAGCCCCAAGGACCAGAGAAGCTGCCACAACGGCTTTCCAAATGGAAGGAGGGAAGGCTGGGAAACCCGCAGCAAAGCAGCCCGGTGGCACTTGCTTGTCCGAGAGGGGGATCCCAGCCGTGGGTCAAAATGAACACTGATTTAATTTAAACAGCTTGCAACCAGTCACCTATCCACAGCGCAGGTGTCTGGGACACTGAGACCTTCACCCAAACTCCAGGTGCAAGGTCGAGGGCCAGAGTCAACAAGTCTCAGTTTCTGGATGACCTCCAAACATTTCCAGTGGTGGAAAATTCCTCAGGCTTAGTTTTTTAGAACAAAAAAACAGAATGGCCAGCCCTCTGAGGGTCTTGGACAGCTCTGCTGGGCTTGGAGGGCTGCTGTCTTCCACCCAGCCAGAGGCTGGAGGAAAGTGGGGACTGGACCCATGTGGCCTCCTGCACAGGTGCACCTGGTCCGTAAGTCCAGCCACTCCCCTGACCCCTCCCACTGGACAGTGGGCACCATCTGTTCCAGCTGAGTCTCCACTGACTGTATGACAGTGCAGGTGTGGCATTCAAGGTTCTCAGAGATGCCCAACCTACCTTCTATATGCAACAGCCTGGACCAGTCTTTCCCTGGGATGCACAGGCAGCCACCCAATGGGGGAGGGGGGCTGTGGTTGATAACTACAGTTCCAGAAGGAGGTGAGATTCAGCCTCTCACCCTAGTGGCACTGTAGGTCTGAGAGAGAGAGACCCTGAGACCTTTCTAGACTCCCTGAAAATTCCAGAGTGCCCCTTCATATGCCCTTCCACCATGCTGTGAAACTATACCCACTCTCCCAAAGTCCATGGCGGGAATAGACCACGGAGGTCAGGGGGATGGAAGCCTTGACCACACAAACCCCTTGAGAAAGCAAACTCCCCAGGAATAGCCAGCCACTTTCCTAGAGCCCCTTTGTAGGACCCAACCTCTCCAGCACTGTCCTGCCCTTCAAGATGAGAAGGCCACTAAGACATTGTCTACCCTCCTGCCCCCTTGGGGCTCTGTCCCCCCCTCCCCCAACTCCTGAGGGCCCTGGCACCCCAGAGCCCAGCTCCCGAAGCCCTGGAGACAGGCCGAGGGGAGGAAGATAAACAAGCAGGGCTTGATGGCCGCTGTCATCATGGCCGTCATCATGGCTTTCATTTGGCTGCCTAATGAGTCACATCACAGGCAGAGAGAAAAATTGTCAATCGCCCGGGCCCTAATGAATTTTTTTGCAAATTGTAATCAAGCCAGGCCGTCTCAGCTGGCTGATTAATGAGACCCACGAGGCTCGGCCAGCACCTCAGCTTTTTATCCCATCCCGTCCTCCCTGCACTAAATTAACAGCAACTTGTCTGAGCTTCAAATTAACTCCCAATGATTAATTCTGATGGGGGGGGCCCTGAAGAATAGCTTGTTCTAATAGGCTCTGGCCTGAGATGCTGTTGGAAATTAATACACTTCCCCTTTGGCTGCCGGCTTTAATCCAAGGTTGGGTTTTGACATCACTATATTTGTTGTTACAATAAATTCCACTTACATCTGCGGATCAAATAATTATGCTCAGGAGTGCATGTACCTGGGCACCTAGCCGGCACAGTGGGACATACCTGGGGGGCTGCCTGCACCCCAGGTCAACTGACCCCAGGTCTGCAGCCACGGGTGGGGGAATACCCAGCTGGGTACCCCTCCCCCTTTGGAAAACTGAGGGTACTTTGAAAACCTGCAGGCAGATCTTCATCTCAGCAGCCTGCTCCTCCAGCTCCCCCAAGGGCTGGGTCCCTTCCAAGCAAAGCAGCCTGAGCTACCTGAGCAGGGCCTTCTCCAGTCCTCACCTGCATTGGAATCTTCAAGACTTAGTGCAAGCTGTGCACCCAGACCCTTTTGTTCCCTCCCTTCTACCCCTAGGGTAGCTCTTTCTAGAAGCCTTTTCAGCTCAGCAGGGCAGGGTGCAAGTCCTTCAGGCCCTCTCCGGCCGCAGCTTGCCTGGCTCTGGTGGTTTGTGCGGCTTGCCTTCCTAGACACCCTTTCTCTGGGGTCCGCATTTGCTCCCTCTTGTTTCTGTTCACTGGCACTTATTTGGCTTAATCATTTCAGCTGTGAATGACAAGCCTGGCACAGGGTCCCCAGAGCTGCTCCCTCCAGCCTCGGGCCTGACCAGGGCAAGCACAGCACGCTGCAAAAGCCAGGAAGGACATCCTGGCCCACTTTCTAGTTCTCTCTAGAGGGCCTTCCAAGCTCCCTGGAGCTGTCTGAAGTAGCTGTAGGCCCATCTGGCAACCCTGTGAACCAAGCTGGTATCTGCTGGACATGGGCTTTGACATGGCCAAGTGACCTGCTGGAACCAGCTTTGGAGGCTCCAGAGCCAACACAAGCACCTTTCCCTATCGTTGGAGACTCGAGTCCTCTGCCCAGGTGTGCACAGCTGGAGCAGGTGGCCTGCTCCTGTACTCAGGAGCTCATCACAGCACAACCTTCTCCATCAGCTCTTGTGCAATCAGCCTCTGGGGTCTAGGAGGGAGCCACAGCCGGGGTCTACAGTGATGGCCTGGACAAAGAGAGGTGGCATTAATCTTCATTTGGGGCCCTTATGGTGTAAACAGGAGAAATATGATCTTGATAACCAAACATGAATGCAAATCACTCTGTCAGAGTAATAAAACACCTGAATCCCGACACACAAAAGCAACACCATATGCATGAAGACAACTGCGTAAATTATAAATTACATCATAAAAACTGATTGCCTATTTGAACAGTTTAGAAGTGGGAGCCCTAAGCTGACTTCTGCCTCTGTGGTTCTGGGGAAAGGTCACCTTCTCAGTGGGTCCCTAAGGAGGAACTGGGTGCAGACCCTTGCCTGTCTTGGAGGCCTACAGGAAGAGGTACCAGAACCCAGGCCTTCCGGGCTGGGGTGTTAAGGGTCTGGGGGCTGCAGCAGGTCACCAGGCTCACCAGATCCCAGGGGAGCCTTCCTGTCATCTCAGAGTGCTTCGGCCCTGAAAGCGCTCATGGCAAGCTTTGCCGTGCAGAGCACATTTCCCTCAGGATGGAGTTGATCTGCGGTGAGCACCCGTCTGAGCGCAGGTAGGTGGTCGGGAGCACCTGAGCTAGGTGGCGTGCGTGTGGTGCGTGATTCCCGCTTTTACAGCTTTCTCCGCGATAGGCAAGAGTTCGATCCCCCGCAGCAGAGCCAGAGGCAGACACCTCCCCGTAGTCTGAGCGGGGCTGCTCTCTCCCCGGCAGGACCTCCCTTCCTCCAGGGGTAGGTCACCAGCCGCGCGCATTTGAGGGCTTCTTGGTTATGTCACAACCCTCAGGACCTCGGGGTTGGCTCGCACTCACGCACGTCTCTCATGTCAGCCCCTGAGCGGTCCGCTACAGTGCGACCTTCGTGCGGGGCACCCCTCTGGGCTCTAGGACCCCCCCCCCCCCCCGCCCCC